TGTAAAGGGCCATATTGATCTATATTAAATGCACAATGTATTTAAAAGTACTTAATTGGATAAGAATTAATGCTGTATTGCTTACAATCGCTTCGTAAATAAGTCATTATTTCTCATAAAAAGTAAAGGATAAAAATGGTTATTGTGGGTTATCCCTAAGAGATAGACATATACCATCCCGGACTTTTTTGTTGACCCTTTTAAGATGTACAATACAGTAATATATTATTTTGATCTATCTCGTAGGGTTCAGCCAGCGTTTGCAATGTAAGCGCAAAAAATGTGTTTATTTACGACATCACATTAGAAACCTCTAAAATCATCAGTGTTTCCCTACTATATTATGCATGTATTATAAATATAAACCTTTCTCTTGAATTACTCTATCTATTAAAAACAACCGCATCAAAATCCGTTGCGTAGTTTTAATGATTTAAGCATTCATAGGGATAGACAGCGGGAAAGCGACTTTGTTTTATACTATGTAGTGATAATTTAGTGTATCACCGACCGTCCTGTGCTGAGTATTGTTGAGGTATTATTTGTTCTATTGAAATTGGCTGCATGAAGTAGTTCCGCACACTGCATTGGTACCTAATAGTGTTGCACATACAAAATTCTTATAGACGATCAAAATTGTCAAAGTCCGCAATATATTATGTTTATTATCTTCTTTCTTGTTTCCACATAGGACTGTAGTCATTTGCTGCGTTTTGAACGCGCCCTTGTTAAGATAGCAAATGCTTCATGAGTAATACAGACAAAGTGAAAAGAGATAACCGAATAATAGTAAGCGGTGCAGCGGTTAGAGGTTGGTTAGGTACGCAAAAGATCAGGGTCGGCTTTATAACTGCCTGGTTGGAATTATATTTTTAAACAACCGTTTTTGCTTTCCTAAATTCTTGAGAATGTTGAACTTTCTTTAAAGTCCGATGCTCAAATGCTGCTTCTCTGCATCTCTTTTTGTTACATACTAATTGGTGTAATATTATTCCTTCTCTTTCTTTATTAGTGTCCGCTGCAATTCCTACCTGGCATCTCTTTTCTATGTTTACGATTTTCCCTACAACGTCTGTCGTGTGTAAAAGTAGGCGTTCTGTCAGTAACTGCTTTAGTCTAGTTAATAAGTTAAGGGAAGAAAGTAAATGCGACATCTTATCTTATTAATTTCTAGATGGTTTATTTCTTGTTCTTGCTTACTTGAGGAGTCCTAGAGTCTGATTTGTCTAAATTTGCGGAAATTTCGATAGCGAGTAGAATCCAAACATGCGTAAATACATATATTTAGCTAATTTTTGCACAACTTACACGTTATGTATTTTTGCAATGTAATTCCTTTTAAATACCACACATTTAAATTTTATTTTCACAAAGTAAAAGGTATTAAATAATAAAATTTGTACTGCACGCTTATGAATTACACCTTTCGCCTTTTATTTTGAAACATAGACTTACACTCAAAAAGCAAGAATTTTTGCTTCTTTTTAGTTTCTTAACATGATATCTTGCTCTTGTTGTCTTGTTTTTGCTCACAAATTTCTTGTTCTGCTATTGCAGCAAAAATAAGACAAGAATAAGAAAAAAACAAAACAAGAACAAAAAGTTTGTGAAATACTAATCAGAAATCCGTACTTCTCTCCTCTACATCACTCATTTTCCCATTTGCTTATACAAAGCTATGAATCTAGAAGTTTTACATCAGTTGGTTACATTCAAACCAGCTTTTGGTGTGTATCCATTCTTCGATCAATTTTTTTACTGAAGTTAGAACTCCATAGAGAAGTTTGCTTCTATGAGGGGTGGTACGATTGAATTATTTTTAAAAAAAAATAGGTGAATAAATATTTACTGAACATCCAATTCATTTCATCATTTTCGCCTCTTACTGTATTGCCATAAAGTGGTAGGAGCTCAGGGTGGGATTAGGTTAAAATTAATATCACAGTTCTGACTATACATACATATAATGCCAAAGTCATTCAAACTTTTATTATAAGTTTTACGACAATATATGTAATACTAAACTTTATATAAGAAAATCTGTTTTGTATGTAGGTATATGTAAGTAAGTGTATCATGGCCTTCATAAAGACGATATTTTTAGTATCTACTTATATTAAGATTGCTTTAAGAAAACGTAGATAATACATTTACGGTACTGAAATTATTAATTCAAATTTCAAAAAAGGTGAAGCGCTGAAATTGAAGCGAGTGAAAAGCGTTTTACAGAGCATTACGTTTTTATTTGAAAATGCTCGAGAAAATATAAATGAACATCAAAGTAGAAAATGGGACGCCTTTTAAAATTAAATGCTTTCAAATCTTTTCAATTTGTTTTATAAACATCTAATTAATTTTTTTTCTCTTCTAAAGAAAAACACTCAATTAATTCATTGCTAAACTGTAATCAAGAATTTAAATTTGTGGAACGTTTAGTGTGTAAATGATTTATCAATAAATATATTACTTAAAAGCAATCCGAAAGTAGTGTTTGCTTGGGTCGAAGGTACATGCACTAAATAACAAATTAAAAGTTTCGGTACTCTGTCTCCATTAGAAATGAGTGCGGTATGAATGGTCACACAGCTCACCTGTCCTATGTATAGTTTTGTGAAATTTCCCATTCGAGTTTTCGGAAATGAGTATTTCGCAATTATCGTATCGGATCGTATCAATGTATTCTACGTCAGTGAGCAAAAAACTGATGTCAAAGTGGCTTATTGCTGTCTAAATTAAATTGTTGTATTGCATTTTGTAGACTGATTTTAATGTTCCATTCTGTATTAGAAAGCATATATTTTACGTCTTTTAGTTCTAACGGCAAACATGGAAAGAAATAAATTGAAACAACTAATTACTTATAGCGTATATGTACCCCATGTATTGATGATTGCTTGAAGTCTGCATTAGATAATTATTAGACAGATGTCGAAAGCGCATTAGATAATTGTAGTATAGTAATATGAACATTCCGCTCTCGGTTAGTTGAAATGTTTTAATTTTGTAACCCATTATCTGAGGAACCGAACAAGGACTCTTCTGTGAAATGCGCTTTTTGCGATTTTGCATAGTGTTTCTCGTTGCGGAAGTCTGCGAGTCGGTAGAGATGCACGACAAGAAGAATTTTCTACATCAGTGAAGCATTAAGAGGCGAATTACATTGCGAGACAAGAGAGACCTGAGACGTTCTACTCCAACAGTTTACATACTTTTATTATCTGACAGACAAAGTCAATATTTTACTTTCATAGAGCGGTTCAAACAGTCAACTGCTTTGGCGAATCCATAGGTGAAACGACCGAACGAAACTGCAACTGCTTTTCTACCATATATTCATAAATTGAAGGATTCTCAACCAGGATCAATAGATCCACGCCAGATAATGTTTATATAATGTATAAACCGAAAAATTATTGTGCTGGATTTTTCAGGATATTGCGAATATATCGGAAAAAATGAAGTTATTGACCTAGCTGACATTTTAAATGTAATGGGAAGCCAGTAGAATCTAGGCACCTACTACTTCACCGTTTGGTAGCTTCCAACCGACCATGTTCTGTCTCTATATTCTATGTCACTATGTCCATACTTCAGTTTCATTATATTCGTTTCATAAAAGTTACCATTTATAAGACTGATTTCCAAAAAGGAAATATATTTTCATTGTTTGGATGAATATGAACAAAAATTATTTTAAGAAAATTATATTTATTAATAAGATGGTGGTAGGGGGAATATCCGCCTACCATAACCTAAA